CTTATTGAAGAAAGCATTCAGTGGCGCCCTGGGGGGCTCTCTCGGAAAGTGGGGGTCCATTGATGGGGTGGAAAGGAAGAATTCAAAAACTATAGGGAGAGAAAGTGCCTGGGCAAATAAAGTAAGGTGTACTCGAGTAGGGGGAAGACACCTTAAAGACATCTTAGGTTCCTGAGCATCCCAGTCGGCTTCCTAAGGGTTAACCCCTCCAGACCCCCGGGAACCCCCTAGTGACGTCAAGGGCGGGGTCAGTCGCCGCGTGGGGATGCCGCGGAAATAATGGGGGGGGTCTCGACCCCGCCCCTAGGGAAAACCACCCTCATTCCTGCTCTTACATCTCCCCCAGGAAGCCTCCCAGCCTTCTCCCTCTGCTGGATGGGAAGAGCTGTACCATAAAGACCCCAGTTCCCCAGTCCCCTAAAACCCTCAAAGTCTACGGGGTCTCCTTTCCTTAATTCTGTCCCCAAAGCTAGCTGCCCAGGGCCGATTGTTTCGGGGTCACGGGGCCTGAAAGAGTTTCAGAGAGGGGCGCAAGGGCAGGCAGGGTGGTCTGAGCCAGAGGAGGGGCTTTGGTCTCCAGCTCCCGTTTGGGCGGGGGGCCAAAGGGGATATACAGGCTGGCAGTGGTCGCTGGTCCCGCCCAGCCCCAGTAGGGGTCTCCCTGCGGCTGGCTGCAGCTGCCCTGGTGGTCCTGAGGTCAGAGGGTCAAGACAAGGTCTCCCCAGCGCTTCCTTAACGCCCAGTCCTTGGGACACAGGAGTCCAAAATTCCTAGGAATTTTTCTAAAGGCCTAACCTACACCTTAGACAGCCTCTCCAGCCCTCTTCCTAGTCTCAAGTGCACTCCTTTCCCCCCAAACGCAAGCATCCGCGGGCACATCTGTCACAAGACAGTCAGGGGTCCAACCTAATCGGCCTGCAGTGGTGTTACTGACTCTCACACAGCCAGTCCCCATCCCACCTAGAGTCCCCCCTTTGGCAGAAGGTCCCCTCCTCTCAGTGCCACTGACGTCTTCCTACCCCGCGTTCAGAGACGCACCTGAAGTTCCCTCTCTACTACGCAGACCTCCAGCTGGCCATCCCAATAGCCTCTTCATCTCAACCTCAGGAAAAAGAGATGTTCTAATGTGTGGGAGAAGTGAAGACAAAGAGACCCACGATTGCCTGAGACAGACACACAGACTGTCAGAAGAAAAAGAGATACAGAGAAAAGGAGTCACAATTGAAAAAAAATTCTCCAAACTTTCTACTATCTCTCCCATCGTCTCCTACCCCATTTTTCCTGAGCCCCCATCTCCCTCCGGGCTAGGATGGGTCCCGCTCGGCAGAGCATCTCCTCTGGCCCCCTCCCCCACCGCTCCCAGGTGGTCCCCCGCCCGCCCCCCTTCTCACCTCCGTCTGGGCGCGGAGCTCGGGATGCGAGGTCCAGGGCTGGAGTCTGGGCCGGGGGGTGTGCGGTGGAGAGGGGGGGCGGACAGGGCCACAGCAAGCCTCCTCAGTGCCACCCCATCCCCCCAACCTGGCCCCCAGCCCTCCCGCCGGCCCAGCCCGCCGGGCCGCAAGCCGGGACCACCCGCGAGAAGCGCAAACTTTTTTTTTTCCTTTTGCAAAAACTTTTCTCGCTCTGGCCGCTTGGCGCGCCGCTGCTCTTCCCGCTCGCCCCTCACCTCCCTCCTATTTCCCTCCCTCAGGCCGTACTGGAAGATGAGGTGGGGTAGATGGAAGCAAGAGAGGGGGTGCCGGGCTTATTGCACCCCCAGGACCCCCAGGATCCACCCCCTCCCTTGAGGGACTCTATACTGCCCCCCCACGCTGTATTGGTGGGCAGTAAATCCCGGAATGGAATTTCCTGGATTGGCTATCCACGAAGAGGCCCATAACCAGAGCAAGGAAAGCGTCCAGAAAAATACTTCGGGGAGAGGAAGAAGG